TAGTAGAGCCACTCTAGCTGCCTTTTGCTTTTATGGAAGAGTTGATTTTCAGAGGCACTGAGAGCCATTCTGGAAAGTGGAACCTCTAACTACTTCTTAGAACTCTTAGAGATCATTGTTCCGGTTTTAGGTCTGTTTTCTTTCCCCTACTTCCAAAGTTAACTTTTGGAGACTCCGTAATGCTACATAGCTTTGTTGCTTTTATTGCTGCTTAGGATTAGCTTTCTTGGGTCATAAGTCCTTACGATGGGTGCTTCTGCTTTCCGGTTTCCAAAATTTTGTAACCGTTAACTCCTTTTCTATTTGTTCTTTTGAGTTTATTACTTTTTTAAAAAAAATCTTTATTATATCGATGGCTTTTCCAAGGAAACAGAATTCAATGAGTGATTTAAATCTTTCACTTGTATTTGAGGGTACACCCTTTAGCTTTTAGTTGCTTTACTCTTAGTGACCTAAATTTTCTTGTATAGTCACCAGAATTTTTTTTTTCATGATCAGAGGGCTTTAAATATCAGGGCTCCCGATACTTGGTAATATCCTAAATTTAATTAGAGTGTTTATATTTGGGGTTGTATCATCTTTTAAATTCAGGCGTGGGATCTGAATAGCTTTGATTCAAAATAAGAAGAGTCAGCTGCTTCCAAGTCTGCTCACTGCTTGATTTTCCTTAGAGCAGTGATTCCCAAACTTGACCATGTCCTGGATCTCATCTGCAGAGTTTCTGATCCAGGATGTCTGGTGTGAGGCCCAAGAATTTGCATTTTCAGCAAGTACGCAGGTGATGCTGGTGCCGCTGGTCCCAGGACCACACTAAGAACTACTGCTTTAGTGTGTGGATGGTGAAATGTTCTTTTTGGAGACAGGGAGGACATTCAGGAAACAGATGAGAACAAAGGAGGAGAGGAACAGAGAGAAGTTTGTGCCCACTTGCTCTTATTCCATTGCTCCCCACTTTTGTTTTCCCCCTTTCTTTTTGGAGACAGAGAGGACATTCAGGAAACAGATGAGAGCAAAGGAGGAGAGGAACAGAGAGAAGTTTGTGCCCACTTGCTCTTATTCCATTGCCCCCCTTTCTGTTTTCCCCTTTTGTCTGCACTAACAAAACCTGGCAAAATCTGCTTAGAGCAGCGTCTCCTGGCATCAAAATTGCACTTTACTCAAAGGCAAAAAAGTAAAGTGAATATTCATGTAAAACCTTAATTTGAAACCCTTCGAATGTTGTTGCTGTTGTTTTTGAAATGGGATCTTGCTCTTGCTCTGTCGTCCAGGCTGGAGTGCAGTAATGCTGTCACAACTCACTGCAGCCTCAAACTCCTGGGCTCAAAGGATTCTCTCACCTCAGCTTCTTGAGTAGCTGGGACTACAGGCCTACACCCTCATGCCCGGCTAATTTTTAATTTTTTTGTAGAGACAGGGTCTCATTATGTTGCCCAGGCTGGTCTCGGACTCCTGGGCTCAAGCAGTCCTCCTGCTTCAGCTTCCAAGTGTTGGCATTACAGACATGAGCCACTGTGCCATGCCCAAATGTATTTTTATGTGGAATTTTAAAGGGGTCGGGGGCTGAGGGCGGTGCCTTATGCCTGTTTTCCTAGTACTTTGGAAGGCTGAGGCAAAGGGATCACTTGAGACCAGGAGTTTGAGACCAGCTGGGCAACATGGCAAAACCCCATCTGTACAAAAAATACAATTAGCTGAGTGTGGTGGTGCACACTTGTAGTCCCAGCTACTTAGGAGGCTGAGGTGGGAGAATGGCTTGAGCCTGGGAGGTCATGGTTGCAGTGAGCCAAGAACACTCCAGCCTGAGTGATACAAGATGCGTCTCGCACAGACACAAAGGTGGGGCGGGCAGTGGGTAGGAAGTCTATGCAAGGTTTAGAGAAGTCATTACATAATTTTGTGAAAAGAACTGGGCATTTTCTTTTTTGAGAGGAAGTCTCTGTTGCCAGGGCTGGAGTGCAGTGACGCAGTCTCAGCTCACTGCTACCTCTGCCTCCCAGGTACAAGCGGTTCTCCTGCCTCAGCCTCCTGAGTAGCTGGGATTACAGGCACCCACCACCACGCCCAGCTAATTTTTTGCATTTTTACTAGAAGCAGGATTTCCCCATGTTGGCCAGGCTGGTCTGAAACTCCTGACCTCAGATTCGCCCGTCTCGGCCTCCCAAAGTGCTGGGATTACAGGCGTAAGCCACCGCACTTGGCCAGAACTGGGGTATTTTCTAAGGCAACAGAATGCTACACGGTTTTGTTAAAAAGCCCCTTGTCCTCACGTTTCAGTTATCTCCTAGTTGTAAATCTGAGAAGGCAGACCCAGTGCCTATTGGTGGGAGGAGCCAGAGTTAAGGCCATTCCTCTAGTTTCTTTTCTTGTGGCTTTTTGGAGATTCTGCTGTAATTGTCTCATGTTTAGCTTTTCTTTTTTCTCAGAATGTTCTTCTGCAGTATGGTTGCAAATACTGAGAAATAAAATTGTGGCCCCAAAAGATAGGATCTCAAAGGATAGAGATACCTGGGAGGAAGCCAAGAGAAGTGAGGACCCAAAACCCTTGCCCAGATGAGGCTGCCTTTCACAAACACTTTTATTACTTACAATGCAATGCACCTGGATAGTTCTAGAGCTTCAGAAAGCCAGGATCTGGGGAGAGAGGGAATAGGGTCTTAGTAGATGAAATGAAAAAGCAGGTTACAGGAGATGAGTTTTGTCTGCAGCTTGTCACTTCCTTTCTTAGGCCTGTTTTTAAATCTATAAAATGATGATTTGGTTGGGAATAAATCCCAAAGGTGCTTCCATCTTGGTTTTCTTTATTTCCCCCAAATCACTTCTTATATCTTTTGGGCAGCCAAGGTAAGAAACCAGGTCTCTTGACTTATAAGATAGCTCAGAGTACCTAGACGATGCGATCTTCCTGAACCATGTGGTCCCAAAGGCTCCATGTTATTTCCTGTTAGAGGTTTTCAGTGGCTTTGGAATAGAAGGAAGTTTATTGCTATGACAGTCAGGCAGCCACACTGGGGAAATATGCTGTGTTGTGTTATGTAGGAAAAAGTCAGTATTACCCAATCTGGTAATCTGATTTTTAGACAAAGATTTGACCCTGGAACAGGCTGCCTATGGCTGAGCATAGCATTAGTCTTGTCTCCAAAAACAGTTAAAAAAATCAGTGTGTATTTGGCTTGTCTGTCTCTTTTACGTATAGAAATATATTTTGCCTGAAAATTTTCATTCTTATTTTGGAAGCACCTAAATTGCTCTGAGATGTTCCTTGTAGCAGTAATTAATTTAGCTTTTACTGTGCACCTGCTGTGTGCCACACTTGGTGTGAAGTGATAGAAATTTAGAGAAAGACTCTGAGGTGGGGAAATACATCTGGCAGGAGGAGGGGAGAGAAAGCTAATGGGGAAAAAAGGCCAGGATTTATTTACGCATCCCTTGTTTTATTCTTCAGGGATTTGTTTAGCATTTGCTTTGTGCCAAGCTCTGTGCTGGGTTCCTGGGATACAAAAGTGAATAAGACAGAGACATCCTGTGTTCTTGCAAAACCACACTGCAATGCATCATGGTTAACTCTGAAATAGAGGAGGGCACATCAGCCTGCTGTGGGGCGGAAGTAGAGATGGGATCAAGATCCATGGAGGGCTTCCTGAGGAGGTGACTTGGACGTGCAAACAAAGTACAAATGTGTGCCAGCCAAATGACAGAAGGAACGGTTAAGCAATGGCAAGAGAGAGGAAGTGCTTAGTTGGGTGTAGAATGTGGATTTAGGAATGTGGATTTAAGGAAGAACAGGAGGAAATGAGGCCATAAAGTTAGGTGAGTTTCCGCTCTTGAAAGATATTTTATCCCTCGGTTAGAACTTTGAACTTCAACCTCAAATGATGGAGAAACCACTTAAATATCTCATAACCGAGGAATTACAGGAAACTGCAGCCATTTAAAAAGGCATACAGATGATTTAACTGCATAGATTTTAAGTTTAAAAAGCAGAATGTGGCTGGGCACAGTGGCTCATGCCTGTAATCCCAGCACCAAAGTGCACTTTGGTGCTGGGATTACAGGCATGAGCTCCCCTTGGGAGGCTGAGGTGGGCAGATCACTTGAGGTCAGGAGTTCAAGACCATCCTGGCCAACATGGTAAAACCCTGTCTCTACTCAAAAAAAATAAAAATAAAAACAAAAAACAAAAAAACAAAAAACTAGCTGGCTGTGGTGGCAGGTGCCTGTAATTGTAACTACTTGGGAGGCTGAGGCAGGAGAATCACTTGAACCCAGGAGGCATAGGTTGCAGTGAGCTGAGATTGCACCATTGCACTCAAGCCTGGGTTACAGAGTAAGACTCTTCAACATAAAAATTGTGTGCTCATTATGATTGCTGATATACGAAGTATATCTAGGTTGGTACAAAAGTAATTGCAGTTTTTGCCATTACTTTCAATGGCAAAAGCCACAACTACTTTTGCACCAACCTAATTAGTTATGACAATGGCAAAGCATGGGAGGATGTCTAAAAGTAGAATCTGTTATTTGCATGGTGAGAGTCTTTAAGAATTCCTTTATAATATTCACTCAGCATTGAATTACTACTATATGCAAATAGATCAAGATACAATCCCTTCCCTCTATCATCGAATATGGGGAGAGCTGATAACTTCCATGCACTTTCAAAAAGTGTGGGATTATGAAATGTCCAGAATAGGCAAATCCATACAGAAGGTAGATTGGTGGTTGCCAAGATCTGGAGAGGGGAGCGAGGAATTGAAATTACAGCTTATAGGCACAGGGCTTCTTTTTGAGCTGATGGGAATGTTCTGGAATTATATAATAATGATTGTGCTTGGACATAGAACCTTAGGAACATACGAAGACTCATTGAACGTGTAGTTGGTTAAAATGATTTTATGTTACATGAATTTTATCTCAATAAAAATTATAGGAAGAAAAAAGGTGTTGATTCCAAAGAGATGACGTTGCTTGCACCTCATCTTTACTTTATTTTATTTTGGTAGTAAAAGGCAATCGCAAATGTGAGTTGAACTGCCAGGCAATGGGCTACCGCTTCTACGTACGGCAAGCTGAGAAGGTCATCGATGGCACCCCCTGTGACCAGAACGGCACGGCCATCTGTGTGTCTGGGCAGTGCAAGGTAAGAGCCCCTGAACTGGGGCACCTGGGGTGAATTCTTGGGGTGTTTGATCTGTGACTGCTGACTCCATTGTTTTCTGGGAGGGACCAGGCTGCTAGCTCCCCCCAGCCCACGTAGGGGCTCCTGAACCATGCGCTCTGGGGGGACTGGGCTGAGATGGGGCTACTTGGTCAGCCCTGACTTTGCTTGTGATCTTTGGGCATCGCCATGTCCAAATAATGGAAATGCCAGTATTAAGTGATTTATGTTGACGCCACATGTTTCACAAGGGACATGATGATCTTTGCTGGTTGGATCTGGAGCTCCTTCGTTGCCTGTGAAAAACGGAGGTTATGGAAAGGGCACTGCTGGTTAAATCAAGAAATGGTTGGCGTCATGAGGGTGGCATTTTAAGGGAATGGCACATTTTATCTTGCCTCTCCCCAGAAGAGGCAGGCTTCCAAAGGAAAGCTGTTTCATGCCTTTTGTAGCAGAAGTTGTACTTTAAACAGGAAGTTTTCAACCTCCTTGGGCTTCTGAAGTTTGTTCCAGGAACTCCCCCGCCTGGCATTCTGCAAACATTCTGGGCTTGAGAGAATCCTTGTGGGATGCTCAGCATTGACAGAAAGCACCATTTGGTTAAAAAAAAGCATCTTAGGTGAAATGGCACCAATTCCGTAGCCACATTAATTTGCGCTAGGACGTGTACCTTCCTTTCATCTACATGTGCGTTAGTGGAGCTAAGATTTTAGAAGGTAAATGACTCTGGAGCCCAAAGGAAGAGTTTGTCTTAATTAGCACGCTATAGCTAGCTGGCAGACTGATTTTTATCAAAGGAAGGGCTCTTTGACTATAACGTCTGAAAGTTCCTGTTATATTTTGAATATATATTATTATATTTTATATATTTTGAATATAAATTGCTTCTGTGTTTAATATTAAGGATATTGAGGTGTGATTTATGAGCACAACCTACCCCCTCAACAACATTTTGAATGAGGAGGTTTCATCTAGGATGCAAAATAACTTGCAAAGCAGGATTGATATTTTCAGATTTTAAAAAAGGATATTTTAAATTATTACAAGTATGTAATGAATGTATATATTTATGAGGTATATGTGATATTTTGATACAGACATATAGTGTGTAATGATCAAATTAGGGTAATTGGGGTATTTTTCACCTCAAACTTCTATCATTTATTTGTATTAGGAACATTCCAGTTACGCTCTTTTATTTCATTTATTTTTTTGTTTTTTGAGTTGGAGTTTCACTCTCATTCCTCAGGCTGGAGTGCAATGGCACAATCTCAGCTCACTGCAACCTCTGCCTCCCTGGTTCAAGTGATTCTCCTTCCTCAGCCTCCCAAGTAGCTGGGATTACGGGCACGTGCCATCATGCCCAGCTAATTTTTTTGTACTTTTAGTAGAGACAGGGTTTCACCATGCTGGCCAGGCTGGTCTTGAACCCCTGACCTCAGGTGATCTACCTGCCTTGGCCTCCCAAAGTGTTGGGATTATAGGCATGAGCCACCACACCCAGCCTCTACCCTTTGATTTATTTTAAAATATATAATAAGTTATTGTTAGCTATAGTCACCTTATTGTGCCACCAAATACTCATTCATTCTGTTTTTGGTTTGTTTTTTGTTTGTTGTTGTTTTTTTGCTCATTAACCATCCCGACTTTATAACCCCATCCCCACTACCCTTCCCAGTCTCTGGCAACCATTATTTCACTCTGTCTTCAGGAGTTCAATTTCATGTTGGTTTTTTTTTCAAGCTCCCACATATGAGTGAGAACATGTGATATTAGTCTTTGTATGCCTGGCTTATTTCAGTTGACAGAAATTCAGTTCTATCCATGCTATTGCAAATGACAGGATTTTGTTCTCACATTTTGAATGGAAGTTAAGAAAGGAACAAGGTGTCACTTGATATCTGATGTGTATGAAGTATCTTTGGAAGAGCAAACCCTGAAAGAATTAGGATGTGGCATAGAAGAGGCAGGAAACATCATGGAAAATATAGCCTCCAATTTTCCGCTTCTTTGGGAAAACCACTGGTTTTCACACATCCTCTTTAGGCTTCAGTGTCCTCAGAAAATACCAAAACGTGTTCTCTTAGAGTTTTATGGTCTCCATCTATAATGGTCTCTGCTTCTAAATGTTACTGAACTAAGATGATGGGCCTGATAGCAATCTAGGTTTATCGTTCAGATCCCAACTCAACTGTTTCATTTCCTGAATACAGGTGCATACTGCTGAGGAATGGTGAATGTAACAGTAAAGTATAATGGTTACAAACATGACCCTGAAGTTGGATTACCCGGGTTCAAGTCATGTCTGTTCCACTGATTTACTGTGTGATTTTGCAAATGTTACTTCAGGTCTCTCTGCTTCTGTACATCATCTGAAAAATGAGGAGGATGGTACCTACACCCTGTGTTGTGGTGAAGAGTCATGACCCTGTAACAGGGTCTGGCATTAAGTAAGCATATTGGCATTTATTAGTATTAACACTGCGTATGCCTACATATTGTACACCATTGTACTTGGATTTTCTATGCAAAAGTATTTGCCTTTTTCCTTGATTATAGATTTGTCAGATGCACATGCTCTTTTGGGTCAGTGCTCTCATGCTATAGTGTGAATCACTGAGGGATTGCAGATTCTGATTCAGCAGGGCCTGGGGAAGGGCCCGGGAGTTTGCTTTTGTAACAAACTTCCATGCGATGCTGATGCTGCTGGTCCCTGGATCATACTTTGAGTAGCAAAGTTTTAAGGGACACTGATTAAAATACAGTTAACAAAAAGCCAGAAATATAAATATATAGTGGTGAGATGACTTGGAAGGAATATGAAATGTAGTCTCTTCACTGGGAGAGCATATTTTCTTAGTATTTCATTAAATGTCTATGAACTGGTGATACAAAAGAAAAGCAAACACTTATAAGGACATGCATATGGATTCTTATTAATTGAGGAAAACATTCAAACTTTATGGCGACACAGTTTGCAGAGAATCATTGTTAAAAGCCTGAAACAGACATTTTCCAGGATGTAAGTATATTAATAGGGTTCTGACGTCACTACGACTACGCTGATACTACTTTGCATTTTTTCTCTGCATTTGCCTGAAATTTCCTCATTGCACTTTGTTGGAACCACTGACTATCCCATCCTCTCTAGAACTTCAGTTTGAATAATCAGAAGTACATTTGATTCCCAGGCCGAAGTTGTGTTTACTTTGCAACTTTCAAAGGGTAAAAAGTGTCCTTTTCTAAATATTTGATCGGATGCCCAGAATTCAAATTCATTTCTTCACCTCTCTGACTTACGGCTGAGAAAGCTGTCACGTGCAGACAGTTCTCCCTGAGATATGTGTCTGCATCGGAAATAGTTACACAAAGCCTCTCCTGGCCACATAGGGTTGAAAGAAATAGCCAGGATTGCAAGAAAAGTTAATGAAAGGTGACAAGCATTACATAATAATATGAGCTGAGTCTACAAGAGTGCTCAGGAGAGGAGGGCACTGTCCTCACATCCAGCCAAGTAAAGGCCCCAGGCCCACCCATTGCTGGCTTGAATGCTGTGTTTCGGCTCAAGCTAGGCCTGTGTTTACCCAGTTCTGGAGCTCCTCTCTGTTTTATTTATTTTTTAAAAAAATTCTTAATTTGTCATTTTTGTGGGCACGTAATTTATATTTATGGAGTATATTTATATGAGATAATTTGATACAGGCAGACAATATGTAATAATCACATCAGCGTAAATGGGGTATCCATCCCCTCAAGCATTTATCCTTTGTGTTACAAGTGATCCAATTATACTCTTAGTTATTTTTAAATGTACAATTACATTATTATTGACTATAGTCACCCTGTCGTGCTATGAAATGCTAGATATTATTTATTCTTTCTATTTTTTTGTGCCCATTAACCGTCCCTACCTCCCCCTTAACCCCTCGTTACCCTTCCCAGCCTCTGACAACCATCATTCTCCTCTCCATCTCCAAGAGTTCAATTGTTTTCATTTTTAGCTTCCACAAATAAATGAGACCATGCCTAGTTTGTCTTTTTTTCTTCTTTGAGATGGAGTCTCACTCTGTTGCCCATGCTGGAGTGCAATGTTGCAATCTTGGCTCAGCACAACCTCCACCTCCTGAGTTCAAGCAATTCTCCTGTCTCAGCCTCCCAAGTAGCTTGGATTACAGGCATGTGCCATGACACCTGGCTAATTTTTGTATTTTTAGTAGAGATGGTGTTTTGCCATGTAGGCCAGGCTGGTCTCAAACTCCTGACCTCAGGTGATCCACCCACCTTGGCCTCCCAAAGTGCTGGGATTACAAATGTGAGCCGCCATGCCCAGCCCAAAGTTTGTCTTTTTGTGCCTGGTTTGTTTCACTTAACATAATGAGCTCCAGTTCCATCCATGTTGTTGCAAATGACAGGATCTCATTCTTCTTTGTGGCTAAATAGTACTTTATTGTGTATATGTACCACATTTTCTTTATACATTCACCTGTTGGTGGACACTTAAGTTGACATAAATCTTGGCTTTTGTGAATAGTGCTGCAATAAACATAAGTGTGTAGATATCTCCTCAATATACTGATTTCTTTTCTTTGGGATATATGCCTAGCAGTGGGACTGCTGGATCACACGGTAGCTCTATTTTTAGTTTTTTGAGGAATCTCCAAGCTGTTCTCTAAAGTGGTTGTACTAATTTACATTCCCACTTTCAGTGTAAGAGGGTTCCCTTTACTCCACATCCTCACCAGCCTTTGTTATTGCCTGACTTTTATATAAAAGCCATTCAAACTGGGGTGAGACAATATCTCACTGTAGTTTGGATTTGCATTTCTCTAATGATCATTGATGTTGAGTAGGTTTTCATATGCCTGTTTTCCATTTGTATGTCCTCTTTTCAGAAATGTTTATTCAAATCTTTTGCCCATTTTAAAATCAGATTATTAGAGATTTTTCCTATAGAGTTGTTTGAGCTATATATTCTGGTTATT